TGCGTTCCAACTGAATTCTTTGTTTTATTGAATTCTCTCCCTTGTGCTTTCTGCATACTTTTTTCTTGAGTATTTTCCCTTTCCTGACATGATTTTATGTCTACAATATTGTGCCGATAAAATTAATTTTTTTAGCACACAAAGGATTTTTCAATTGAACTAAACAAAATGTTCAAGTGTTGTTTAAATTTCAGTTTCATAATGACTGTTTTCTATTCAACAACAGAAAATAATAGTCACATGTAATGATAAAAACAATAATGTAAAAATATTTTTAAAAAGAAGAAAAAAAAACACAAGGAAAATCTAAGTTTGACAGAAGGGCTGTGATAAGGATGGATTTGACAAGGTACTCTTAAACGGGCCAAGCAAAATTATATTGATTGGGCTCAACCACATGTCAAGTTCACTTCATTGAAAATCAAAAATAGGGGTCAATGCTCTTCTTTTGGCGCCACAGAGCATTTAGTTTCATCTTGCTGCACTGTAGAAGGTCTTTCACATAAATCAATTTTTCCTCCATTATTTTTTTTTGTTTTCAAATAAATTATGGGAGCAAACAAAGTCTTATTTCATCTTAATTTGCCACATTAAAATTACTCCGCATGTTCAATTATTTGACATTTTCCACTCAAACATTCTCATTTTTGTAGCATTAAATATCTAACAAGCAGAAAAATCATTTGAAAGTAATTTCAATTTACTTAATTTAAAGAAGAGTGGTTAAAAATATCGTATATATTCAGAAAAGAAAATTAAAAGTGAGGATCTGTGATGTAAATTTAAGATATTACTAAAACAGTACTAATTTTAAGCTTGAATTATTTTTTTTTCTTTTTTTAAAAACACATTTGCTTTATATTTATAAAAAATGATGAGAGAATCATGACAGTTCATTTGATATATAATTTAGGACCAGTAAAAAACAGTCCACTGCACAAAAAAATTGTGTGGGCAGACTGCAGGAATCCAAAACTAACATACTTTAAATACTTCAAAAGAGAAAAAGATTTATCATTCTCTTCTAAAAAAAGCCTTCCGTCACAAAATATAGTTCCACACATAATGCTTTTGGTATGGAATTTAATCATGGAATTTTAACTGAATATAGTTAAACTGATATTGTAGAATCCACATTTATTGCCAGAATTGAAACATTATGCAGAATGTTTGAAATGTAGGTAAAGATAAAAATCTTATCAAAGCTCAGGAGCGAACCTCGTTAAATGCATGTTCTACCTACGAACTATTTCCAAACAGGAGTCTACCTCCAACTTTTTGAAACAAGAACATCAACAATCTCCAATAAATTTCATGAAGTAGTTTTGCCATTTCCGTGGTCGTTACACTGCACTTTTCAAATGTAATTTATTTTTCATACAAACTGTTAGGCCATTATTGTAAAATTTAATTGTTATGCGATTATCCAGATTATCCGCATTACTATTGACCGGGAATACTTATTCGTTCATAGCACCTGATCCATTTTTTAAGGGTACATATTGGCTTCGATTTCAATTAGTCTTGCTTAATTGTTATTTTAAGCATGATCACCGTTTGTGGTCGTGATCTTTGCAGTTTATACCCTTCAAAATTATCGTTTAGTAATTTAAATTGTATTAGAATGTTCCATTGCAATATTTCTTACCGTGCTTGATGCATTCTTAAAAGTATTCTAAATATTTTAGATTGTAGAATTGTTTTATATACATACTCTAAGAAATATAAAAAATACATCTATAATGGCCCGTACAATCAATGCAATTAATCTCATGCAATATATCTTTTAGGATAAGTTACAGCGTGTGTACCTTGTAAGTAATATAATTATATGTGATATGTAAAATAAACTCATCTGCACTGGTTTTATTAGTAACAAGTTAGAAAATAAACGACAGAAAGAAATCCCATTGTTCGCCTGTGTTCAGTGTTGTGTGAAGTTATCATTAATCATCTAAATCTTGTAATACGTAAACATAAACAATACATGCATGTATCTATATTCCATTCAAGGGTATCATTATGCAGTATTTTATGACGAAAATCCTTTTCGTTTAATAACATTAATTTCCACCCAGGCTAACACTTGCCTAAAAGCCAATTTTTAAATAAAAAAAAATATCCAAAAATTGTTAACTTCCACACTCGTGTTGCTATTTCTTCCATCATGAAATTAAGCCAAATAGGAATTTGAACTTTAATGTTCATTGGTGTATACTGACGTTGAAAGTTTTATTTCATAGACATGTAATATAAACTCGGATTTAATCATATCTTGTGAATAATATATATCAAATTAAATTCAGGTTGTTACCTGTCACCTCCAAGTGCTTTCAATACTTTGCTTCTCTTTAACTTTTGTGTTTAATAGCAGGACAGTAAGAGTTATTAATGGTTTAATAAGTAAATTACATTATAAAACAATTATTATTCAATTTAAGTACACATAAGCTATAACATATTTCATTTTATAATTATTATAATAAAATTAACATGTGGCAAATGATTAAAATGGATGAAGTGGTACATAAATTAACACTTTTTCAAGAAAATTATGTTCAAATAGGTTTTGTCCACTCTATGCATTTTATGCAAGACTAATATTCATTTAATCATGAGGCTATTAAGATTATTCAAAAAATGACTGAAGTATGAATAGTATTTCACTCTGAATCCTTTTTAAAGTTTTTTTTTGAAATAAATTGTACTTACCCAAACACATTACTGTACATATGATGTGAAACATGTAAGCAGAAAATGAAAGCAGGGCTGCGGTAGACATTTCCTGATTAAATTGGTTTCACTACTTATTCATCAATACCTCATGTATCCTCAGATAATACAACAGACATGTGAGAGAACAAAAACAAATAACATTAATTGGATATAGTTTTTTGAAATGATGATGCTCCTTTTAAAAAGTGATGCTTTTTACTAGTAGATTTTTAGAATTTAATTTATTAAAATTAAATTTCTACTTTCAGTTTGGCATTAGTTGTAATTCAATAATGCATGGTATATGACTTTGCGGATTTTATTTGTCATTCAGTTTGGCATTAGTTGCAATTCAATAATGCATGGGATATGAATTTGCGGATTTTATTTGTCATTCAATTTTTGGTACCTAATTTATTTATGAATACTGAATCAGGGATGGAGTCAGTTACATAGGAAATTTATGAATTAGTTATAATACTTGCCCAAAAATGTAAATGTAAATCAAACACAGAGTATTTGATGACTAATAATTTTAAAGAAAATGTTTTGAGGAATCAGAAATTTACAAAGTAAAAAGGGGACTTAATTAATATTCTCTCAAAAAGTAACCATCGATAGAATTTGTTCGAAAATCCTTAAATCTTTATTACATAGTATGCAATGGGATGGGTAGGGAGTAGAGCTTTTTTTTATTATTATTTATTTGTGATATTGAATTAATTGAAAAAAAAAATTGTAAATAACAAGCCTTTTCGTAAAGATTATTCACAATTAAATGTTATTAAAATTTGATCAATTACACAGTACTTTCAATAACATCAAAATGTGTCATTAATTACAGTCAATTACATTACACATTACCATTATCCTATCCCTGGTACTGATAGGTGGACAGGGATTACAGTACTTATCATGATTTTATATGATTATTAATATATTTAAATTGAGGGTGTACGTATAAACATATGATAAATAAACTCACAATACTGAAGTAATTTCAAACATCTGTTATCTGTATTTGCACACTGTTATCTCTGTTTCTTTAAATATATCATAATATGTTTGCAAATGAATATTTGTTGGACATTTTTGACAGACTCTCTTTTGTAATAAAAATGTATCTTGGAATTTGTCTTGGTTAACTAATTGTTGACAGCGTTTTCAGCTCTTTCAAAATGGTCTAAATACCTTAAAGTAGATAATCAACCATCTTGCATTTTGTGTTACATATTACCTTTGAATTCATATATCAGTTAAATTTCGAAACATTCAAACAAAACTTTTGTTTATAGATAAAGAAAAATAATAAGGTTACCACTATTTTAGGAGCCTGTCTTTTTATGCTTTGAGACCATGCATAAATCTTAAGGAAAGCACAGAAATGAAAACTAAGCTAATCTTTTTTTGCAAATTGAAAAAAGAAGAAACCTATATAAGTATAATTTCCCCCCAATTCAAGATTTTATTTCTATTTCAAATGTATGGATAATTGTATTTTAATCTTTAAACATGCTTAAAGAAATCAAATAATATTGAAATACATTTGATCTATTGGCTCTCAGATGATATTTCTGATAAAATAAAATATGACAGTGAATTTACAGCATATAAATTTGTAAAATGTACAAAGACAAAATATCAGTTGGGTCGGAGAAATGCTTTATCAAGTGAAAAAGAGCAAGGTTCACTAAGAGCCTTGTTGTTGGCCCTGTGAATGCCTTTATTAAAACAAAAATGAACTGTTTAAGTTGACAATGCATTTATTATCACTTGGAAGCATGGTGACTAAATGTTTATAATAAATGACAGAATTTTCTCGTTAGTGAATACATTATGACGTCACAAATTTTGTCATTTTCCTAAATCCTGAATATCTCTACAAATACGGCCAAGACATTAAGATGATTTTCAGTATTCCAAGTGAAAGCACAATCTGTAATCCAAAATATGAATTTCGATAATAAAAGAAATGCTTCTGATCATGAGCATTGTAAAACAAGTTTTACTTGTTTTGGATTGAGGGGTTTGCTAATATTTAATTCTAAGCTTAATTCTAAGCTTAAAACACTCAATTTCCCCTTTTAAGAAAAATTGAAGACCCATGTACTTTCCTACATCCTATTAAACAATACCTGGATTCTTATTGGAAACATTTAAAAAAAGTTAAAGCATTAAGTCTCTACATTGTAATGATGTTGAAAATGGGGCATAGGGAGTTAGTTAATGTGTTTATGCATAAAGTGAATCTTGCTCTTTTAAGCTTATTCTTCAATTACTTGTTTAGGAAGGTATATGCATTGTAACCCGAGTTGGTCCCATGTAAAACAAAACAAAAGAGAGGATAAGATGACAACTACAAAGGCTTCTTCAAATATGCTTGTATACCAAACAGCCAAAGTAAGAATAACAAAAAGATATGTTTATGAGATATTTTTGTACCAATATATATGTTAATGATATATTTTTGTATCAATCAATTGGAAAGCCATGCATCGATGGTCAATATTTGAGTATTCAATAAAACGAGAAGATTGTAATTTACAACAAAGCATGAAAATAAATGTATCTTTGAAAAAGAAAGAAACCTGCACAATCTGACAAAGAAACTGAATGTTAAAACGTACAATGCATTCAGTTAGAATGCGTCTTTTACAATGAAAGAAGGACATCAACAGTCTCGATTATATTCATCATTTTGCAAGTTTTATGGTAGATTAAATGTCCTTATCAATTACATGCAACTGAGTCAAATGCTGACTTGGATATTTCAAATTAACTACTTTGCCATTATTTTCAAACTGAAACCGAAACGGAATTCACCGTTTACTTGTTCATGACAAGTCAGCGGAAGGTGTGACCTGTCAACAAGGAATACCTACTCCTCAATACATGTAACAACCGATAACGCCCCTAGATCTGGTGTTTTTGGGGACAAGAGTTTGCTTTGCCTTTAATTTGCATTGCTTATATTGATATTGGGCCTTAAGAACGTTCTATCTCAATATTTTACTTAAAATTTTTAGGATAAGGAAGTAATCACAAATTACATTAAACTGATAAAGGTGCAGATATAGAAATTTTCTTTTTATCTTGCATACAACGTCGTTAATTATATTTCGTACATTGTACTTACATGTCAGGAAAAACAAAGTATTGAAAATTAAAAGCATGGTGGTCGTGACACATGTATTGGAAGTCACGGGTTCTACTAATTCGCGACAACGTGCATTGTTTAAATTTTTATTGACATTATATTGCTTACTTTAGTTTGTGTATTGTTTAAAAATAAATCATTTTATTAAAAAAATATCCTTATTTGTTTATTTAAAATTCATACCTTGATAAAATGTATGACGACCAGAACAAATTAATAGTAATTTATTGAAATTTAATGACGTTTTTCTTTATTGAACAGAACGAAAATATAACACTGAGAAAATGGAAGTGTAAATAACATTTTTTCTTTTAAAAAGACACAAAAGGAAACATCATTTATTCATGTATGGAAATTACAATGTATGTAATCAAAGACTCACATGTAATCCGTTCATATACCTTCTATTTATTTTTTCGTCTGTTTTATTTTATAAAAAAGATACGAGAATTTCTATAATATCTATTGAATATTTCTACATTGGTTAAAGACAATAGATTACAAATTGTTATCAAGGTAAAACGTCCATTGTATCAAAAGAAATTGGGAGATTTCAAATATAAGAGGAAAGAGATGCGTGATCAAGTACAACTGAGAAGTAAGCATCTTCTGTTAATGATCCCATGTAATTTTTATCAGGATCGGGCAAAAAGATAAAATAATATGTAGACAATTCAGTGTGTGAATAATGGTATAATAATAAGCATGGAAAAGGTCTGTCAGAAGATGTCTTATTGATATGTTGTATTTCCTGATGTTATTGTGTTGACCTTATGAAATGTAGACTTAAAACAAAAGTATTACTGTTCTCGTTTAAGAAACTGCTTTTTTTTAATTGAGTGACATTCACCCCATATGTAGCTTATAATGCATAATGCTATATACATGTAAGGGAAGTTGACAATAGAACAGTTATTACTGTCATGTTTATTATAATATTTGCTTGTTACAGTGGTAGGTAACCATCAATGTCTTTTCTAAGGAAGATATCAAAATATGAAACATATGTGGTAGACTCTTTGTGATCTCAAGATTACTGGCAAATATCGAGTTGACATTTAAGTGAAAGGAACTATTGATAACTGATGATACGTATTCAATGTATATCAATGTCGAGTTAAAGAAAATATTCATTGCTTTCTCTTTTTCATGCATTAGTTTATAAATGATGTCTTCTTCTAAGGATGCAGAATTTGTTTTGCTAGTAGTGGCGCATTTCTATGGAAATTGCAGCTATGCGATATTAATTTGTTTTAATCATTTTCTTATCAGATAATTTTGTGCTTTAATTGCCTCTTCTGGGTGGATAATAGTAATTATTCTTTTAATGTATGGTTTACTTTCGAATTCAATTTTGATTTTTGAATCTTTTGTAACTAAAGTGTATCAAAAAATTACATTTATTGAAAGTTTAATGTTATGTTACTTCCTGTGTTTATATAGGCGATAAATGTTAACGAAAACTAGCCATTTTCTTTTTAATGTATTACAACACTGTTTTCACACGTTCTTTACGGGTTTAAGCCTACACCCTCAATTATTATGACATGCTTTAGCAATTCATCCTTCTCTGTTGTTAAATTCTCCTTATCTTTCTAATCTAAATATGGATATGAAGAACAACTTAATGATATTTTTCTTAAACATAATTAAAAAGCTATTTTTGTCGCTAATGCATTACATATCACTTGGATCCTTCGTTACTAAATCTCTATTTAAATAACATATAATCAATGCGTTATGATGTCAGAAATTGCGTTGTTTCCCCCATATCCCGGATATTCTTTACAATTATCAAATATAGAATTTGTTTTTCATTTCAATTTTTATTGTATAATACAACCTCTTATGGAAACTGAGGAAATGTATATTAGAGAACTGTTGTTGAAGATGGGTTATAATTTGATTCTTTTTATTTTTAGATTTAGGGGTGTATTATGTTTTAATTCCTTGATTAATTTATACAAATTCACCTTTTTTCTACGGAGTTCAAGAACATTCAATTCCACACAGCATTTTATTTCAATACCTGTACTTTTTAAAATCATTTTTCTATTTGGAAATGCAAACATAGATTCCCTATCTATTATTAAAACTCTACCTGTCAAAGCGAAGGGGACCATAGGTTTCCTGTGAGTTTGTCAGTACGTCTGTCTGTCTGTATGTCTGTCTTTCTTGTCTGTCTGTCTGTCTGTCAGTCTGTTCCACTTGTTTTTTTCTCATTTTGTTTTCTAAACGCTTGCAGATAATAAGCTGATTTTTGGAATGTTACTATACCTTGTACCTTGATGAATTATAGATCATGTGTGCATTTCGTCTCGTTTCAATAGTTTTTTTTTTTTTTTTTTTTTTTTTTTTTTTTTTTTACAAAATTATAGTATTTTTAATTTTTAACGGGAACCAGTTTGCGCTTGCTAGTACTCGCCGGTAGGGGATAAGTATTGTTAATGCAATACTTTCATAATGCTAGTTGATATTAAAAATTGTACATTAGTTGTTAGTCGGTGAATCTGTATAATAACTTGATCATTTCTTGCTTAAAGAAAACCTAGATGATTATTCATATTTTATCTTTCATATTCTTTATTTTATTTAAAAGATGCATCTTTTCCCCATTCTTATTCTGTTTTTCAAACAATAGTTTTTAAAAATGAGATGTATTTGAAAAAGAGGGGGGATATTGAACGATTATAAAAAGTACTATTCCAGTTTTCTTTAATTATTATTTGCGTACTATCGAATGGCTTTAAATAAATATAATGTTTTAAACATTTGAAAATAAATTGTTAATACACACATTTAGCAAACAATAATTATATGAAAACATCAACTCCTGTTAAGCGTTGTATTTCTGAAATTCTAGAGTAAACAGAGTCGGATAATTCCTAAAAAAGGAAATTGAAGGTTTAAAATTTATTTGTTATAAAAAAAATGATAATAGTATGTGCATAAATTCCATTATTATTACTTGTATCACCCATTGTGGTATCATAATACGCCCCAGAGGGTAGAAGTTTAAACAAACATAAATTAACACTACATGACGATATTTCATGTCACAATGACTAGTATGTTGCTTCCCAATTGATACAGCCCCAGGGGTATTGATTTTACAAAACGTGAATCTACACTACCTCAGAATGTCTCTCATTATATATTTATATGACAATATTTTCTTGCTGTTTTTGAGAAGACTTTTAAAGTTTTTTTTAATATATACTTTAGCTATATAAAACTTTGATAACCTATTGTAGCCCTTTACTATCCCCCAGATGTAATTATTTGAACAATATCAATATTGCTTAACATGCTGTTCGTGAGAAAAATATTTTTAAAATTATATCTTCCTGTCTAAAACTTTGATCTATTGTTGCCCCACTCTACCCCACAGGGTTCATGATTTCACCATTCTTGAAACTATACTACCTGAGAATGCTTCCATATCAATGTAACAAATGGCTTCATTGCTCTTGCAGACACTTAAACATGTCTTTCTTTTTATTCCAATTTAAAACTTTGTTCCCTTATTGTTGGTCCAGCCTATCCCTTACATGAGCTAAAAAAGTGGACATGACTTAAAAAGCCTCTTAATGGGCGAATATACAGATTAAGTGTTGTCAACACTTAAACTGCATGACATTTTTGTTAATCACTGCTGTAATTAAGAAGTAAATTAAAGAGTAATTTTGAAGACATAGCTAGATGTGAGATGATTGAGATGAAGGAAAAGACAACCGTATCTCTGAATAAGGAATTTCCCAAGTTTGGACAACTGAGGAATTTGATAAAATGTTTCATAACTGCAATCATGGTAACATATGAAGGTCAACTTCCGATACAAGCTACATGTAAAACAAAGTTACGCAAAAGGATATTCTGAATTAATTGTAATTTTAACATGCATGTTTGGTCTTCATTGTACAGTGTTTTGGAAAGTCTTTTAAGCTATCTGATTTTTCTTATAATTTTGATATTCACTTCTCATTTTTATGCCTATCTAAGAAAGGATGAGGGAATACACATAGAACAGTGAAAAAAGTCGAACATATGCAGTATTATAATAAAGGTAATTTACAATGAAACTGACGATTACATCAGATCAGATTGTATGTAATTCTTTGTAGGGCCTAGATGTGTGGAACAGTTGTGTAGTATCTTACGATGTATAAATGTGTTTTACAGAAATTTTCTCCCTATTTTACAGTTATGTTCCAGCATTCAGTACAATCAGTAGAGATGCAGCTCACAGCCAGTTGTGATTAACTGCGGTCAAAGCAGGGTGTTCCTGGTTATGGTACATCAATTCTGTGCTCAAAAAACAATTTTAAGGTAATAATGATTGATTTATCATAATTTGCATATGCAAGCTAAGTTTGCATTGCAATGCATAAAGAGTGCATTTTTTATCTTGCCATTTTAGAAAAAATAAGATGAACACAGAGAAGAAGAAAGTGTACGAAGCGATCTTGGCGATATAGATATGTGGAGGTGGGAACGTCAATTGTTATGCAAAATTTAAACCTTCATAAATGTATCTGCATTTGTAACGGTTATTTCCTATGAATACAATTTCATTTTACAGCAAAGAGAGAGGTGTATGGATATTTTAGAACGCTGTACTCAATACTGCAAATACAGTTACAGGATGTAATATGGAAAAGGATTTGCATTATTCTCTTCATATACTATTCATTAACTCCATTTTATCTATAGAACGCCAGTGCACTCAAATCAAACACTCCAAAGAAGCTGGGAAGGAAATAATTGCTCTGATTATCTTTTACTTAATGGTTGAGATGTGGATAATACACTTTTAGAGCTTGAAGGAAACCAAAAACGAAATTTTTAAAAAATTCAATAAACAAAACAAAAGTAAAGTTTTACAACAAAAACAAATAAAAAAAAGAAATGAAATGCATATTAGCAGAACGACCTTGGGAGTGTCCTGGACGACTGGCTATTGTCAATGTACATGTAATTAGCTTGAATACCCCTCCCAAGACCTGTTATTTACGAAAGGGGACCAAAGTCCTAGGAAATAGGACCTTGAGAAAAAATATAGTAAAACAACCATACTAAATGTGTAGATTCTAACAAGAAAAAATATTTCACAAACTGCGTTTTTATTCCTCTAAATACCTGATAAAATTTTGACCACCTGCCCAGGCTACTTCACAACATGCCAAACAGGTCTTATCTCGGCTGTGACTTCCCGGGTACAACCCGAACACGAGGTATCAGTAGATAAAATATCTAATCGAGGATTTAGTTTGTTACATTCATGAAAGGATATTTTTCATGTTCAGTTTAAATATAACCGCATTGAATATAGGTTATAGATATAGATATTTATAGGAAATATATGAGATTTATAGGCCAATAAAGGTATTTTTATTTTATTATCATATTTTTTCTGATACTACATTCACAATCTTGTAGGCTGTTCAGGTAAAGACTTGTACATGTATGAAGCTTTTGTAGTAGAATACTGATATTGTAAACATTTGAGTACTGTCGCAAAGTCTCAAGTTAGTAGATATAAAGAATATCTGGTAAGAGTTTAGATTCGAGAAATAGATGAACAGAGATGTGGATGACTCTTGTGTCATAGATTTTTGTTTCTTATGCAGTGAAA